ATATAGATGACTTGGAATATAGCACACAAGCCATTTGGACTGTTGCTGTAGATTTTAGGTAATCTTGGTCACCATTCACTTGTAAGGCAAAAAAGCAGTGTGAACATCCTGCCGAACTTCTCCTTTTGTGTTCCATAGAAGAAAGAAAATGAACAGGCTTTGAAACGGTGAGTAAATAATGAGACTTTTAAAGGGATAGTTCGCTTAAAAATGAAATGTTCTCTACCACGCTCTGAAACGGTGAAACCCATTTTCCAAACAACCTTTGCTGGTTTTTAATAACCAGGAAATAATTTGCATGAGAGAGCATCCAATTTACATACCTAGTTGCCTTTGTGTGTATTTGCATGTGTGTGTGTGGGAGAGAGTGTTTAAAAACAGATTTAGTTGGAGGAGCTTGGATTGTAGACTTCATTTTCTCTCACTCGAGTTTCAGGTTTCACTAGGTTTTATTGGAATGACAAATAATAGTGCTACAAAAGCCGCAGAAGGTTAGACACTCTCCGTCTTTCACATCATATCTCATATTTTATGTTCCGCCCTCTATATAATTGTAACTGGCATGTGAATCGAGTCACATGATCTTGCAGTGGTAATAATAGACAGATTTAGGTACACTCTCATCATCATAATGCTCACACATATGCTTTCCTCCTTGCTGTGTCCCTGGCAGGAAATATTCTAGGTATAGTCACTTAGTGTGTGTGTGTGTGTGTGTGTGATTGTCCTCGTACGGCAGTGGTGGTGTTGTAGGGTCTTGGCCAGCATCTAGGGGTCTCCAGCGCTCTGTCAGTTCAGTATCCTGAAGAAAGTGCTTCTGTGTTTACACACACTACAACTACACTTTTTATATCGTTTTGACTTATGTTTCATTTAAGTATCAACTTCTCCTAAAATGTAATTGAGCACAAATGTGACAATTGTAGACATACAGTAAAGAGTTGTAAAATGAACATGGAAATAGCAGCTCAGATAATGTGGTCTTTGAAGAATCTGAGAAATTTTTGAAGTCATATTGAGATCTTTTACTTTTTTGATTGCCGACTTTGGTGTCCTGGCAAACCGGAGCACATATTGAGACATGTTTGAGATCTCTTTTGAAACTCCTGGAGATGAAATTATTGGGGCCTCCTATTCGGAAGATGTGTAAGAAAAACAAATGGGATTTTACGGAGGTTTGTCATTTTTCTTTACTATGCATTTCTATTGGTCACCATGGTTTGGCATTACATAGTGTTGACTGAAGAAAACATTAGATATGTATATATTTTTTCTCTTTAAAAGCTCAGAAGACCTAATGGAGGTGTTTGTTAAATTTACATTTTTAGGAGAAATAAAAACAGTCACAAAAGTGACAATCGCTAACATACAGTAAGAGTGAAGAGCTGTAAAATTAACGAATAGCAGCTCAGATAATTTAGAATTTGATGAAAAATGTTCAAATTCATACTGAGATGTTTTTTTTATTGTTATTATTGAATGCAGGCTTTGGTGTCTTGGTGAATCTGAACACGGTTTAAGACATGGTTGACATCTCTTCTGAAACGGAGATGTTAGATTTGAAGGAGGTTTGTGACTTTCCTTGATATTGTATTGCATTGAAGAAGAAAATTGTATTGTAAGAGTTGTCAGTTAAAATATCAACTTTGTATCATATTTTTCTTAAAATGAAATAGAAACAAGTCGTACTGTTGTGTTGACATACAGTAAGAGCTATGAAATTAAAATGAACAAAATAGTTCATATAATTGTGTCTTGAAAATTTGTCGAGAAAAATTTTCATATTGAGAGATCTCACTTAAGTATCAACTCAAATGTTTCTCCATAACAGCTCAGTTAATTTGGTCTTGGGAGAATTTGATGAGAAATGTTTACTGAGGTCTGAGGTCTCTGAATTTTTTTTGTAAATCGAAGCACAGTTTGAGACTTTCAAGATCTATTCTGAAACTCCAGAGGATCTCCTAAAATAAGAGATACAACGAGATTAAAGATCTATAAAAATTAATCATGAATTCATATTGAGACTCCATTTAAATATCAAATTTGTCTCAGATGTTTCGGTAACACTTTAGTATAGGGACCAATTCTCACTATTAACTAGTTGCTATTTGCATGCCTATTAATAAAGCATTGGCTGTGTATTAGTGCTTATAAAGCACATATTCTACTGCCATAATCCTACCCAATACTTAAACTTAACAACTACCTTACTATTAATAAGCAGCAAATTGGGAGCTTATTGAGGCAAAAGTCGTAGTTAATGGTTTGTTAATGACGAGAATTGGACCTTAAAATAAATTGACCGATGTTTCTTCTTAAAATTCCTAAGTAATGATTTGGCGAAAAGTGTTTGAGCTCATATTGAAACTAATGTGACTGCATCCAAGCCCAATTTGAGACATAGTTGCAATTTCTTGCGAACCTCCAGAAAAGTCTCACGTGATTCCTGTGGCCGCCTTCACGGGAAAAAGGCCTGCAAATGTCTCCATTTAACCTTAAAGCTAGAAGAAACAGTTGAGATATTGAAGAGATCGTTGTTTTTTCTTTCCCGTGGATCACCAGTGCGCTTGCACAAAAGAAAAAAATCACAAATTGAATATCAAAAGTCATCGCAACCCCATAAAACATTTCAAATAGTGTCAAAGATACTTTTTACCACAAACGCACACAGGTATGTACATACGCCGTCTCATTCGAACATCTCATCTCCGTGTTGTCGGTATCAGTGTGAGAATGAAAGCACGGTGTTTTAGCTGTCAAACGCTGCTGTTTTTTTCTTGTTTACTGTTGCACGGTCTGTCAGCCATGGCCTGCGGTACTTCTTTCTTTAATAATACATCTCAGAGTGAGTAATGCCATTTGGATACAGGGAGCTCCGCGCCTGGCCTTTGCTCCCTGCACCTCTCCTCTCTCTATCCCTGGAGTGTGTTTCAACCCACGTACGTTTGAAGGAATTCTATTTGCCGGATGCCCGCGTACTCGTGTGCGCTAGCGTATGTGTGTTTATAAGCTTGTTGAATTGAAATACAGCCAGGCAGGCGAGGTTGGGGGGGTGGGGGTGTTGTTTATTGCAAGGATAGGTGAATATCTCTCTCTTCAGCTCGCACGAGCCACCAGGCAGCGCATCAAATTTAAATAAATCTTTTTTTTTTCGCTCGGGCGAAGATATTTACAGCAGTGAAACAGCTGCTAATGAACTAATGTGTCCATGCTGGGCGGCGCGGGAAAAAAAAGCACGCTAATAGTCGGTCATTACATACGTGTTCTAAAACAATCCACAGGGAACATCGGATGACAATGTGTCTTTACCTTCCGTTTATTAGTTTGTGACCTGAAACGGGGGTGAGTTGATCAAAATACCATACAGAGGCACTCTATTGTAGATGTCAATTAACGTATTTCATTCTTTTCTGAAAGTCGATTTCAGTTATTTCGGCGTGAGCAAACAAAGGGTGTTAGCAGACAAGGCCTCTTCCTTCCCTCCATAACACTCTCACCTTAATTGCTACTTTGTGTCAAAAAAGACCAAACGAGTAGAAGCTAAAAAGTAAAAGCGGATGCTTTTTTTCATCTGGCGTACGTCTTTGTGCCGAGCTCATATGGCCTTGAAAGGGTGAAAACAGAATCATCCAGGCTTTTGTAAGGAATTCTCACCTCTCCTTGAGAGAGAGAGAGAGAGAGAGAACAAGAGCGCCTCTCCTCCCCCTCTTCCTCCGGTACTCATCCCTTCATTTCTCCTCCATTTTCACCGATTTGCTTTGTTTCGTGCGTAATGTTGATTAGACGACTATAGCGTGATAAAGAATTGTGTTTTTCCTGCAATTATTACGCCTTGTGTCGTCGCAATATGGTCCAGCTGTCTGGGCCTTGCTGTTTGGACCGTGACGGAACGGTCAACAGGGGGCAGTAGACCACTTTCCATGGCGTGAAATTCAACATGTCTGATTCCTTTGTCTGCTGGTTTGTTAAAAGCCAGTTACCAGAGCTGCTTTCTTTTGCCATTTACCTTGAATATTGAATGTCATATTGATATTATTGATGTGATTTTTATCAAAGGGGATGAGGTGGAAGTGGAAATGGTGGCGAATTGTTGCGGTGTAGTCAAGTGTATGTATGTATGTATATGTATGTGTGGGTCTGTATGTATATATCTATATGTATTTATACACACACGCATATATATATATATATATATATATATATATATATATGTATGTATGCGTGTGTGTGTGTATGGTTAAAATATATATTTGAAAAAA